ACGAGCCATTTGTTTCCTCCTGTAGGACTAGTTTTCACTACCCCACCACCTCTCAAACTAACTCCATAATTTTTTCTCCAAAACCCGGTTATCCTCATAAGTCAGGGGACAAAACTTATCAGCATGACCAATAATCCCACAATAAATAAAATAGAAACTGGGCAACTTTTTATATTTAAAATCCACCCAATGCCCAATTCCTGCTTTCTTTAGGCTTGTCCCTTTCTTCAGAGGTTTATTCACATCCATACAAACCCTTACCCGTAAATAATTAAGCCTCCCACTTTTCATAAAATTGTTTATCATCATATTTGACAAAGCTACCAATAAATTTGCCAACCCTTCTAGCAGTACATAGGGTCATCAAGCTGTAAGGAACATTATGGACCTGAACCCAGAATTCTGCTTCTTTAAGATCAATTTTGAGTGGATTTCCCCCGGATTAACTTTTTTTAATAACAACATATTCCTTTCAAACATCCACGGACCACCATCTAAGAAACGATTCATATCCACCCTATGATAAAATATAAAGAGGTACCTTTTCTCTCTAATTTCTTTGATTGAAACCCCTTTACCCGATAGTCATAGGAACTTGATCTTTCTATCCGCTAGCAAAACGCCGACCATCGGGAAAGTTGGCGAAGCCTCCGCCGCCGCGGCCTCACTGCCATCCTCCTTATCCAGATCTAGTTCACATGCCTACTCGTCAATCGCCATTTGCTTATACTGAGCCACGATTGAGTCCATCAGTAAATTCCGTTTCCAGCACCAAACCTTCGCCCCTTCCGTTGCTCTTCTGCGTGAAAGAGAAAACGAGAACAATACTCGTTGCACCGATCTCCACAAGAACGATACTCGTTGCACCCCGTCTATCAAAACCGACAAGCCAAAGAAAAGAACTCCTAATAGGAAATCAAATCAAATCGGAAATCCTTGCTTCACTAATCGGAAACCAAAGCAAACTCCGCTCCTCGGCTATTGCCGATAGCGGAAAAACAATTCCAGCGGCGCTAACTCTACAGAGAGACTTTGTGCATAGGTCTTATTTTATTATTGTAAATTTTTTTAAAAAGCCTCTTAAATTAATATGCCACATAGACTTCGTTTGGATGCTGGCGTTTCATTCCAATTTGCCAAAAAATTATAACTGGAAACGCTGCTTGACTTAGCGTTTTGGCCCCAACCCGCCAATTAACAAACATGGCCATTATATAATTCATTTCCAGATGATATCGAGAATAATGATATGATGCCATTATTACTTTGATATGTCATGCCCGAGTGAATGAAGCATAAATACATAATTATTGTATTTTAAGTAATGTTGTATTTCATTTTTTGTATACACTAATAACATTATTAGGGAGCAGCAAACAAAATCATTTCTCACGGTTTTTTTATATTTAACTTGTATATATAGTTCTATAATAAAAAATGTAAAGAATGCCACTTAGCTTGCTAGCTGACAACTGGATATTGGAGTTTATATCACCAAAATTAAAAACATGTCGTTGAAAGCAGATGACCAAAGAAATTTTATTGACAGTTAGCTCCTACCTTCTACGGAGTATTATTTATACTCCGTATATAATTAATTTACTAGTGCGTATGCATTGCATTTATAAAAATGAAATTATTTGCAATCATTTTATCTTTAAAGTATTGTTGACAAATGACGACCTTGCTTTTTCGACTACGTGAGATAAATCAGTTCTGTATTAAAGTAAGTGGAAAGTTTTTTTTTTGGGTCAAGTAAGTGGAAAGTGGATACGTAGTATATGCAACGGTACACTAGCTAAGCTGATTCATCAAGTAGCGACAATTGACATTTGACATTAGGGCGGGGACCGGTTCGGTTCTTACTCAAAATGAGTGGAACCGTTATAAAAGTTTTAACTGATGAATCGGCTCGGTTCCTATATAAAAAATCAAGAACCGTTATGGAACCGAACCAGTAGTAAACGGTTCGGTTCTTCCTTTTACCGGTTCCTAGAATAATTTTTTCTCATCTAAGAATTAATACATAATTTACTTTCTACAAACAACATAAACACGTCGTAAATTCAAAACACGAGTATTAAAATTTTATTTGAAGCTCTAATCACTTTAAACATCAAAACTCAAACGCAACTAATGAACTGTGAACACTTAATAGAACAAAAGATGATTTAAATTTTCATGTAATAAATAAAACATAAAAATCATAGTAGTGTGGGAGCGATGAAGGTTACTCGTCATCATAGTAGCAACTAGCAAAAATAGGTCGCTTAGTTCAAGTCTTTCAAAACATAAAAAAATACATTGAGTTTGCATTGTAGTGTGGGAACGATGAAGGTTACTCGTCATCATAGTAGCAAGAATAGGACGCCTATTTCAAATCTTTCAAAACATAAAAAGATATGTTGAGTTCACATGTATAGATATAAAAAAACATTGTTACATTCTATTGATTCATAATAAATCTAATGATTAAAAATATAATGAAAATAGTAAAGTAAAATATGTGCAATCAACTACAAGTTATTTGAGTTATTTTGTATAATTTATGTGATGGAACAAAACTTGATTTGTAGAAATGCGTTTAATGTATTATATCAACCTCATGTACAATATTTATTACTTCATTTTCGTTGATTAAATTAGTATTGTTAGTTAAATACTCCCTCCATTCTTTATTATCTGTCCCGCTAGCCTTGAGCATGGGTTTTAATAGAAAAATAGTAGGGTAAATGTAGAGTGTGTAGGGTAAATGATAAAGTAGGAAAGAGAGTATATTAAAAAGAGTAAAGTGGTTATAAAGTGATGATAAAGTAGGAAAAAGAGTATATTAAGTAGAGTAAAGTTATGATAAAGTAGGAAAGAGAAAGTAGTTTGTAAAAAGTAAGAGGGGTAAAAGTAAAAAAAGTGGAGGTATTTTATTAAAAACTTTCCTAAAATAGAAAGAGAGACAAATAATAAAAAACGTCCCAAAATGGAATGCGAGACAGATAATAAAGAACGGAGGGAGTATCTTATATTGTTTTATTATTATTGTTGTTGTGGTGGTTATTATTGCTATTATATTATTATTAGTATTGTTGTTGTTGTTGTTGTTACTACTACTGCTAATATTATTTTATTTTTTAATTTTTTAATAATAGTTCCATACCGATTCCTTGCACATATTTTTTATAGGGACCAAGAACTGAACCATTATAACTCGCTTCGATTCGGTTCCTACAAATGAGATATTAATTGTTAACGGTTCGGTTCCTAGATGTTGTTAACGGTTCGGTTCCAATCGGTTCTACGGTTCCCGGTTTTAAAATCCCACACCTATTTGACATAGTCTCGTATTTAGACTTAGAGGGATTAGGCCCCAATCACGAGGCTCCACATACTATTTGAAACTGTCAAACATTTGTTAAAATTTCAAATATTGTTTGAAATTTTGTTTCTTTTGTAGCCCTTGTAATAAAATTATGGTCGAAACATCTAGTTAAAGTGACAAATTTATGAAGAAATCGATGAAATAATTAATACTCTTACTGATAAATTAATTATTAAGTATTTAAAAAGTGTACTTATAACATCATTATTATCACCAATGATTGAATGACCTTATTATGTGTTTATGTTACACACCTATATTATTATATATGAAAATACATACTTGAATTACCTAATTTCAGATGTATGGATCTAAATTAATCAACTATAACTTATTAACGTGTATCTTGCAGGCTTTTCGAATCATATTTGTTTATAAATGGAGTTTGTCTATAGCTTGAGTTCAAGTATAGTTGAGTTTGAGTTGAGTCGAGATAGATTCGAGTAAGAAAGAGTTGTTTTCAAGTAGCCTGTGAGTAAGATTGATTGATTAGCACCCCTAGCAGCGAGACTAAGACCAACATTAATCAGTAATGGTATAATAAAACTGAACATAAAAGGCTTAATTTAACTCAAACGAAGTAAAATAAATGGACAATATTGAAAATACATCTCTACGTTACGTAGTAGTTTTTAATATTGTGGTTTTTCTATTATATTGATTTTTAAGAAAAGAAATCGCCTATTTATATGGTCACATCAATCAAAGAAAATTACACCTAACACAAACTAACTTCCATCAATTACGACGGTAAACCCTACAATTACAAATAGAAACAATCATCTCAGAAAGAACAACACAAATCGCTAATTATGAAGCGGACTGAACGCAACTATCACTGGTCTTATAGATCTGTATGCTTCTAACGACGTAATAACAAGCTAACTTTTCAATCATCTCCATAACCCTAGCAACACAAACTTCAACAAGAAACCAAACAACAAACAATAATTAATAGGATAATTTATTCGAACCCTAGGTGTTCAACCCATGGTGGTGGCTCATGAGGAGACCCGATCATCAGCACCGCGCGCTGTGATTGATCTTCCATTATCGGGCAAACTATGATCTGTCATAGCCATCTCCTTGTGCTTTTCCACATCCTACATACCCACTCAAGTATGTGGATAACCTTTTTACTACCTCGCCACGGAACGCTGCCGTACCACAACCGTCTTGACCACCCTTCCAACCCAAGCCATACTGAGCCTGGCTGATAGTGCCTCGCAGGCCTCCCAGGAGATCTTCGAACTCCGGCAACTATGAACACCCCAAATCAATTCCCCATCACCGTCGTTAGCCTTCCTTTCAAAAGAAAAGAAACCAATTCACTTCAGCGTTGTAGACATCAAAACGAGCGGCGAAACACCGACAAAGGAATCTCAGAGAACAATTAGTTGATACCAAATTTCAAACCCTAAAGAGGGTTACCATACCGCAGGTCCGCAGCTCCTGTTTAGGTTGAATTCATGTCGGATTTTTACACTTTTTTCAAAAACGTCCGATTTTTATTTTTTACAACTAAAAGAAGGGATCCAGAGCCTCTACCTTACTTTAGAGTAAGTTAGAGTGCCTTGCTTCCTCCCGATCGTCCGATGGACAATTCAACGGTCGGAGATCCGGTAGTGTTTGGTTTGGATATTGAGCTGTTTGACCGTTAATATGGCACGTCAATGTTACATCTAAGTCCCAACGTTATCGCGATTTTGAAAGTCGAACCCCACGCGCTTCCGGCCCACACCCGCCACCACCCGGTCCCGTATTCGTCCGCGAATCGGCTCTCGCCGTCCCCAACAAAAAGCCAAAACCACTGCAACACCAACTAAACCACCATTTTTGTAGATCTCTCTGCAAATGTCACAATGAGTGCCCGGCCTCGCCCTCCCCCGCCGGCCCAGCACCGAGCCCAACCTCACGGGATTCAAGAGCAACCTTACAATATCATTCCGATCCATAACCTACTAGCGGACCACCCTTCGCTCCGTTTCCCTGAGGTGCGCGCCGCCGCCGCCGCGCTCCGCTCCGTCGGTGACCTACGAAAGCCGCCCTTCCTTCCTTGGCAGCCGCACTATGATCTGCTCGATTGGCTCGCCCTTTTCTTCGGCTTCCAGGCTTCCAGTGTCCAGAACCAGAGGGAGCACCTCGTCCTGCACCTCGCCAACGCTCAGATGCGGCTTTCCCCCCCTCCGGACAACATCGATTGTCTCGACCACGGAGTCTTGCGCCGCTTCCGCCGTCAGCTCCTGAAGAACTACACATCTTGGTGCTCCTTCCTCGGTCTCAAATCTAATGTCTGGCTCGTTGAGCGTCACAATACCTCTGACAACCGCCGTGAGCTTCTCTATGTGTCCCTTTACCTTCTTATTTGGGGTGAGTCAGCTAACATCCGCTTTGTTCCCGAATGCATTAGCTATATTTTTCATAACATGGCCATGGAAATGAACAAAATATTGGAAGATTACATAGACGAAGACACAGGCAGGCCATTTTTGCCCTCGATTTCGGGCGAAAACGCATTTTTGAACCGGGTTGTCAAGCCCATTTATGATACAATAAGAGCGGAGGCTGAAAACAGCAGAAATGGAACTGCTCCACACTCTGCTTGGAGGAACTATGATGATATAAACGAGTATTTCTGGACTAAGAGGTGCTTTGAGAAGTTGAAGTGGCCAATTGATATCGGCAGTACCTTTTTTGTGACCACAAACAAGGGTAAGAAGGTTGGCAAGACTGGGTTTGTGGAGCAAAGGTCCTTTTGGAACTTGTATAGGAGCTTTGATAAATTGTGGATCATGCTTTTTCTTTTCCTACAGGCTGCAATCATTGTGGCTTGGGAGGGAAATGAGTATCCCTGGCAATCTTTAAAAAGCAGGGAGGTGCAAGTGAAGGTTTTGACTGTGTTTTTCACATGGAGTGGGATGAGGTTCTTGCAGTCACTTCTCGATATCGGGATGCAATACAGACTGGCTTCAAAAGAAACACCATGGCATGGGGTGAGAATGGTTCTGAAGGTTATCGTTTCAGCTGCATGGATTGTGGTTTTTGGTGTGTTCTATAGCAGAATCTGGACCCAGAGGAACAATGATCGTGGTTGGTCAGGTGAGGCCAACAGGAGGGTTGTTAGTTTCCTTGAGGTCTGTTTGGTGTTCCTTGCCCCAGAGATTTTGGCTTTGGTTTTCTTTATCCTTCCATGGGTTAGGAACTTTCTTGAAAACACTAATTGGAAGATATTCAACCTGTTGTTATGGTGGTTCCAAAGCCGGGCATTTGTGGGACGGGGACTTAGGGAAGGGCTTGTGGATAACATAAAGTATACCCTTTTCTGGGTTCTTGTGCTCGCCTCCAAGTTCTCCTTCAGTTACTTCTTACAGGTTAAACCAATGGTTTCTCCTACAAAAACACTTTTACGTCTTAGGAACGTGGAATATGAATGGCATCAGTTTTATGGGAACAGCAACAGGTTTGCCATTGGATTGATTTGGCTCCCTGTTGTTCTGATTTACCTTATGGATATACAGATATGGTATGCCATATACTCTTCCTTTACTGGTGCAGCAGTCGGGTTATTTGACCACTTGGGTGAGATCCGGAACATGCAGCAGCTGAGGTTGAGGTTTCAGTTCTTTGCAAGTGCCATTCAGTTCAATTTGATGCCCGAGGAACAGTTACTGAGTACCCGTAGAACATTTAAGAGCAAGTTTAAAGACGCTATTCACCGTTTGAAACTCAGATATGGATTTGGTCGCCCGTTCAGAAAGCTTGAGTCCAGTCAGGTTGAGGCTAACAAATTCGCATTGATATGGAATGAGATAATCTTGACGTTTAGGGAAGAGGATATCATCAGTGACCGGGAGGTTGAGTTGCTGGAGCTTCCACAGAACACATGGAATGTCAGAGTCATTCGTTGGCCATGTTTACTGCTTTGTAATGAGCTTTTACTTGCTCTTAGCCAGGCGAAAGAGTTGGTAGATGCTCCTGACAGGTGGCTGTGGTCTAAGATCAGCAAGAGTGAATACAGGCGGTGTGCGGTTATCGAAGCTTATGAATGCACCAGACACTTGTTGCTTGAGATTGTCGACTCACATAGTGAGGAGCATTCCATCGTTACAACTTTCTTTCAACAGATTGATGAATGGATTAAGCTGGAAAAGTTCACGAAATATTACAATCTGACCTCACTTCCCCCAATCTGTGAGAAACTTAATACTCTTCTCAACCTTATCCTCAAACCTAAAAGGGATACTGACCAGGTGGTGAATGTTCTACAGGCCATGTATGAGATTGCCACTCGGGATTTTTTCAGGGAGAAGATGACTGGAGATCAGCTAAGAGAGGAAGGTTTGGCACTTCATGCTGACCGGAATAAACTGCTTTTTGAGAATGCAATTGTGTTTCCTGATCCTGGCAATAATGAGACCTTTTACCGGCAGGCTCGTCGATTGCAGACCATTCTCACTTCCCGTGACTCCATGAGCAACATTCCAAAGAATCTTGAAGCAAGGCGTCGGTTGGCCTTCTTTAGCAACTCTCTTTTCATGAACATGCCACATGCACCTCATGTTGAGAAAATGAGAGCTTTTAGCGTTTTGACCCCATACTACAATGAAGAAGTGATGTACAGTAAGGAACAACTCCGGACTGAGAACGAAGATGGCATTTCCACACTCTATTACTTGCAAACAATCTATGCTGACGAGTGGGAGAATTTCTTGGAACGAATGTGGCGAGAAGGGATGCTTGATGAGAGAAAAGAGTTATGGTCAGATAAGCACAGGCTTAAAGATCTCAGGCTTTGGGCATCATACAGGGGTCAAACACTTTCCCGGACTGTTAGGGGAATGATGTATTATTACAGAGCGCTTAAGATGCTCGCCTTTTTGGATTCAGCTTCTGAGGTGGATATCAGGGATGGATCACGTGAGCTCACTTCCATGAGGCATGGGTCAAGCCCCGCATTGACACCGTCTTCCAGGGATTTGAGCAGAGCTGATAGTTCCGCAAGTTTAATGTTTAAAGGTCACGAGTATGGAACCGCTTTGATGAAATTCACTTATGTGGTTGCCTGTCAGATTTATGGCACTCAGAAGGCCAAAAGAGATCCTCGTGCTGATGATATCTTGAAGCTGATGGAAAACAATGAAGCTCTCCGTGTTGCTTATGTTGATGAGGTTGTGAAAGGAAGAGATGAGATGACAGAGTATTTCTCTGTGCTGGTGAAGTATGATCAAACGTTAAAGAAGGAAGTGGAGATTTATCGAGTCAAGTTGCCTGGTCCATTGAAGCTTGGGGAAGGAAAGCCTGAAAATCAGAATCATGCTCTAATTTTCACTCGAGGGGATGCGGTCCAGACAATCGATATGAACCAAGACAATTACTTCGAAGAGGCACTGAAAATGAGAAATCTGTTGGAAGAATTCAAGCATTATTATGGAATCCGCAAACCAAAGATTTTGGGGGTTAGGGAACATATCTTTACAGGTTCGGTATCATCTCTTGCTTGGTTTATGTCAGCTCAGGAAATGAGTTTCGTCACTCTGGGGCAACGCGTTTTAGCCAACCCTCTAAAAATCCGAATGCATTATGGGCACCCAGATGTGTTTGACAGGTTTTGGTTTTTGACTCGGGGAGGGATTAGCAAAGCATCTAGAGTGATCAACATAAGTGAAGACATATTTGCTGGATTTAACTGCACGTTGCGAGGTGGGAATGTAACCCACCATGAATATATCCAAGTTGGCAAGGGAAGGGATGTTGGACTGAATCAAATAGCCATGTTTGAAGCCAAGGTTGCCAGTGGGAACGGCGAGCAAGTTTTGAGTAGGGATGTCTATAGGTTGGGGCATAGGCTTGACTTCTTCAGAATGCTCTCTTTTTTCTACACTACTGTTGGTTTTTTTTTCAACACAATGATGATTGTTCTCACAGTGTATGGATTCTTGTGGGGTAGACTCTACCTGGCACTTAGTGGGCTTGAGGGTTCTGCTACTTCAGGTAGTACAAATAACAACACAGCGCTTGCTACTATTCTGAACCAACAGTTCATCATTCAGTTGGGACTTTTCACAGCTTTACCAATGATTGTGGAGAACTCTCTTGAGCACGGTTTTCTCACTTCCATCTGGGAATTCATCACAATGCAACTCCAGCTGTCTTCTGTGTTCTACACTTTCTCAATGGGAACACGGGCCCACTATTTTGGAAGAACCATTCTTCATGGTGGGGCCAAATACCGGGCAACTGGACGTGGATTTGTGGTACAGCACAAGAGTTTTGCTGAAAATTACAGACTTTATGCTCGTAGTCACTTCACCAAGGCAATTGAACTCGGGCTCATACTGACAGTATATGCCTCATACAGCCCTGTGGCAACCAAAACCTTCACATACATAGCATTGACGATCTCGAGTTGGTTCCTGGTGGTCTCGTGGATCTTGGGTCCCTTTGTGTTCAACCCTTCTGGATTTGATTGGTTGAAGACGGTTTATGATTTTGATGAGTTCATGAACTGGATATGGTACCGAGGTGGTGTATTTTCAAAAGCTGAACAGAGTTGGGAAAAATGGTGGGATGAAGAGCAGGATCATTTAAGAACAACTGGTCTTTGGGGGAAGGTTCTGGAAATGATTCTGGACCTCCGTTTCTTCTTTTTCCAATATGGAATTGTTTATCATCTAGGAATTGCTGCGGGAAGCAAGAGCATTGCTGTTTACTTACTCTCATGGATTTATATCGTAGTGGCTGTTGGGATATACACCATTATAGCCTATGCCCGTGACAAGTATTCTGCGAGGGAGCACATATATTACCGTCTTGTTCAGTTCCTAGTCATCATTCTTTTCATAATATTGATAGTCGCGCTCCTCCAGTTCACCGATTTCAAGTTTGCTGATGTATTCACCAGCCTTCTTGCCTTCATCCCCACTGGGTGGGGCCTACTCTCTTTTGCACAAGTGCTTCGCCCCTTGTTGCAAAATACTTTTATGTGGGGAACAGTTGTTGCGGTGGCAAGATTGTATGAGATCATGATTGGGGTGGTTGTGTTGATACCTGTGGCACTCTTGTCATGGCTGCCTGGTTTTCAACCCATGCAAACAAGGATCCTATTCAATGATGCTTTTAGTAGAGGTCTGCGTATTTTCCAGATTGTGACTGGGGTGAAACCAAAGCGTGATGTCTGATTAAGGTACTTTCAACCCTTTCCAACTCATTAATTGATCAGTTTATTGTTTTTCTGTTCTTAGCAAAACCACACACTTGCTATGTAGGTCTTAGCATAAACTGTTTATATTCGTGTGGGATTGCTAATCGCTATTTTGGAATTTGGGTCGCAGAAAATGCTAGTCTACAGAACTGGAGAGTAGTTATAGGGGAAATTTGGAAGGAAAGGAAATGTGGGGGAATTTGAAGCATTAATCCAAATTTGAAACTCAATAGTATTTTTATAATATCTGACTAGTTTTATTTATTTATTTTTGTAAAAAACTAGGAATCATATGTAAAAAAATTAAAAACGTCATTGTAATTAATTTTCCTTTGCATTTTCTAAGATAAAACTAAATACGTGGTAAAAGATAAATTACTTGGCATTTTTAAAACTTTTCTAGCATTATCAGGGATCTATAGTTCAATATCTACCTTGTATGTTGTGCTAAAACAGACAATCTTCAATTTTCCTGTATCTTTTATCCTTTTGTTGATAGTAATTTTCACATTTACAATTTTGAAAGGTGGCTTACCCATTAGGCCATCATTTGTCCAATATATGCCCGTTTTGAATATATATTTTCATGTTGTCCAAATTTTGTAGGGATATGCTTATTCTGTGTTTTATGATTTTTTCTATTTCTTTGTTTCAATTTATTGTTCAAATATTCATGATTTATATTTCTTTAAAATACTTAAATGCAGACCCTGCTCTCCGGGAATGTTGAAGTATATTCTTCTATGACTCCCAAATCTTGAAAGGATTGCTGTGTGGACTACTGCACTACTGTTCCCGGCACATGTTTTGATAATTAAGGTGTGATATGAACCATCTTTATTAGTTTGAGGTGTTTATTGATCAGCAAAACCTTTTTTTAGTTTCTTTTCTCGGGCAAGAAAATCTGTATTAACCACATTCAATTTATCATTTAAAACATTCATTCTGAAACTTGGTGGCTGTAATAGGCCCCATTTGGAAACCATATTGGCAGTAGTAAAAATAAGTTTTTTCTTAATAAAATCCAGCAGGTTCAGTCATTTAAGCCAAATAAGGGCTTACCAAAAGGGCCATTAGTGGTATGTAAAGAGGGATCGAGGCTCACTATTATTACAGTACACAACTATTACAGTTAGTGAAACGAGTCAGTAGTCATTGTTTGGTGTTTTCTGTTTTTTTATTAATTACTGCATCTTATTATGCCAGTATTGATGGCTAAATCCTTCTATGTGCTGTTGCAGATTTTTTGTTGGTGTGAGGAAGTACAGAATGAAGAGGGGTAGATTTTACCATTTTCCATTTGTAGAGGATTTTACCATAGAGGAGGCTTAGAGATACTGCAATATAATTAGTCTGATTTTTGTTTGTGGAATGTGATGAAGGTTCCTCAGTGATAGAGATAGAGGTTGCATGGGACCTTCATGCCGCCTTTCGTCTTCTCTCAAGCATTGTAATTATTTTTAATTATATTTTTTGTGTAATCTATAATTTGTAATTCTGTCTGTTATGTTATTTATTATTATACGAAACCCGCTGTTGTGTTGTTGGAGTGGGTACAGGTCTGGCCTGAGAAAACATTAGTATATATATATCCTTCTCATTTGTTATTTCTTTAAGAAAATCTTATTCTGAATTTTGGGAAGTTCACTTATTTTTGGCTTGTGGAGTTGTGGGCGGTCCATTTTGTCATGACATTTTGAGCATTTAAAGGGTTTTTGGATGGTCACAATTCACAAAAGTCTTCCAAAACCATCTCTCTAATTTTATAAACTCCCAAACATGAAAAAGAGGATCCGAAAACTCCCATCAATTTCCCCCTTTCCTTCCAAAATCCAACCTCCAAACAGGTTATTTACTCTGTATATCTTGTTCATAAGTTTTTGGGTTTCCGCTAGGCGTTACTCAAATTTATTGTGCTTTGTAGATTTATATTAATGTGTTTTTTCAGATTTATTTTAATGTGACTTCTCCCCCCTAATTCGTGAGGCTTGAGCTATGAACTAATGAACTAACAAGGGTGAGCAATGAGCATGATTAACATATTTCAGTTAATGAATTGTTTGTCAACGTAGATTTTAAATTATTAAAATTGTAATACTATTACGTGAATACGTGTACAATGGTGTCGGTTAACCAAAGTTTTGATTAATAAATAGGGGTGGACTCGGGCCCGGTTCAGGCCTGGGCCCGGCCAGGCCTCGGTTCATGAAAGGGGAGGCCCGGAACCGGCCCGGGTAACCCCCTGGTCCGGTTCGGGCGGGGCCGGGCCTCGGTTCAACTTAATTTTTTTTGGCTTTTCCTAATTAACCTCCAACCCTCCCCCCTCACCCCCAAACCACCCCAAACCACCTCAAATGGCCCAAAATACCCAGTCCAACCCAAAAACTTAAAAAAATTCAAAAAAAAAAAAAAAAATTGGCCCGGACCGGCCCCGAACCGGCCGGGCCGGTTCACCTTTTCAGGGGCCCGAGCCCGGCCCGGAACCCCAGCGGGTCGGGCCTACCCGGACCGGTCCCTGGCCGGGCCGGCGGTTCGGGCCGGTTCAAACAGTGATCGGGCCGGGCCACCCGGCCCGAGTCCACCCCTATTAATAAAAGAAGTTCTGGCCATGAAAAATCTGAAATAATTTTTTTTGCTAGCATACTTGAACTGGGATGAGATTCGAACATGTGACATCATTGGAAGTGTCACAGTGATGCTATCAGACCACAAGGTACTTGACATCCAAAATAGTTAATAAATGTCTATATAACGTAATAAAAAAGAAGTTAAAGTTTGAAAAAAGTCAACAACCTAATTGTATATGAATATTCATATAATAATGAAAACGAAGGAGCCTCGATCCCTCTTTTCATACAGATGGGCTATCTTTCAACGGTGTAATGTAGTTTTACATTAGACCATTGAAAGACAAGGTGGCTAATAAATGAATTTAGTAATACTATAGATAATACTAGTTGTCAACGGTGTAATGTTTTTTACATTTACAATCTACGATAACATGAAAGATAGATAATACTATATTGTACAAAAGTGTGAAAAGATAATAGAAATTTATAGTAATAAGTTATTACGGAATACGGAATATATATATTAAGTAGTCAAGAATAGTACGAAGAATATACGAAGTATTAATGTTTACAATATTCAAAAAGCACGCAAAATGTAAAAACATCACAATGAGGGAGCAAGCTACAAATTTTGTAAATTATAATTTAAATTGTATACTACGCTACTCCACAAAATATGCAATACTTTTGTTATTCAATATTCAAAACATAAGTTTTTTTGGAACAATATTCAAAACATAAGTTGAAAAGTAAAATATAAAAACTTCACGATTTTTCACAAAATTGTGATATACATTTTGTTATGTTCAATACTAAATTAATATTTTTTTGGAAACATTTTGTTAAAAATTGCCACATCCATTCAATAATTCAAGAATATGGCACCTGGTCATGAGCAGTCTCAACTCTCAATCCAGCGCGGTGTCTCTGGCCCCCATTGACGTTGTTGAAGTAGATTCGAGTGTTAGTCGTTGATCGCCTGATTTACCTCCTCCATGCCAAATCTAGATGAAATAGGCGATATCCTAAAGATGCGAAATCATAAATAGACATTAATAACCAATAATCATAAACTACGGGACATACCACTCGACCAATTTGGCTTGTACCGATTTTGATCCATGCCTATGACATTTTTTAGTGGAAAAATTGGGCCAACTTCCACCTGATTTTGTATATAGATAGATATTACTGTTTACCCACAATAAATAAATTTTTATCATTTCCTTACAAAAAAAGCTTTTCTGTCACGCATTTTTGTCACATATTTCGTTCCAGACAGCTTTGTCACAGATTTTGTCAGAGATTTCGTCCTTGACAGGTTTGTCAAGGTTTCTTTGCCGTGACAAAAAAATTTGTTCGGCCGGTGAGCTAAAATTGTCAGGGATTAACTCCGTGACAATGCCGGACAAAATTTTTCACAGATACTTTTCTCTGACTAAATTTTGTGAGGACTGTGACGTCACGGATTTTGTCCATGACAACATCCGTGACCAAGATATTTGTCAGGGATTTTGAGAAAAGCAATCCGTGACAAATTTATTGTTTTTTGTATTGTTTATACCAAAAATGTTTCTTTAAAGCAAACCATTTTCTAAATTATTGAGTTATATTATGAAATGAAATGAAATATTTTTTATGCTTCGATTAGCCAACCACCACTTGATGTAGAAGAAATAACATCTATATCTATATCAATATCTATCTATCTATATTATAATATAATTAAGGTTACAATTAATGAAAGTGTTGCCATGAGTCATCTTCTGAGAGAATTTTCATTACTTAAGGATTACTATAAGACTAAGCTAATAGAATCCTACATAATATCAATAGAGAAAAAGGAACGTATGTAGTCTAAACGTATAAAATGCCCCCCACCAAAATAAAATATTGTGTTTATTTTAAAGGGATATAACTTTTTAAATTGTAATCTAATTGTTATAAAAAAATATCATACTACATCCGTCCCAAAAAGATTGGTCAATTTGACTTTTATTGGTCAATGATGTTAAAAGTTTAAACAATGATTTTAGGTATTATATTTGTGTGTAATTTATAAATTTTATACTTTTATGAAATACTTTTTAAATAAAGAATAAGCTCATATAATTTTCATATTTTAAATAATTTTGTATTAAAAGATATCATTGGTCAAAGTTGATCACCATTAACCAAGAAAAGTCAATATGGCCAATCTTTTTGGGACGGAGGGAGTAATTCATAATTTTTTATTAGCTTTCATATGACATCAATATTGAATATATAAACATATAAAAATATTTTAACACTTTCAAAAATATCATATATAAATTTTTATTATCTTTCATATGTCACCAATGTTGCATACATAAAAAATTCTTTTATATTTTGCAATTTAGGATTGTTCTTTACGGTGCACACAATTAATCAGGAGTGATAACTTAGAATAAATGCATAAACCCCATCACTTTTATTTATTGTTTTATTATTTTTGCTAGAATTTGTGTAGTTTTAGGAGGTAAGAGTCAGATTGATACTCGAAGTTAAATAAAAAGGGTCAAATAAGTCCTATCTTGTATAGGAGGTTCTGTCCGGCCGTCGCCATTTGGGGTGGTTTCCGGTGGAATTTTTGACAAAATATTTTGAGCATCTTATTCATTAAGTCTAGTTTACTCATACCAAATTTCAACTAAAAATTCAACCGGGAAGGCATTCAAATGAATTCTTGAAGATAACTGCGCAGTTAAAAGTGCACTTATCTTCAAGAATTTATTTGAATATCTTCCCGATTGAAGTTTTAGCTGAAATTTGGTATGAGTAAACTAGACTTAATGAATAAGATGCTCAAACAATTTCATAAAAAAATTCCACCGGGAACCGCCTCAATTGGCGACGGGCCGGACAGTAAGAACTTATTTGACCCTTTTTATGCAACTTCGAGTACCAATCTGACCCTTACCTCGTAGTTTTAGTCTAAGCCATCACTCCTATTTATAGTGTTCATGATTAAAAACAAGAATAAATTGAACAAATTAATAGATTTTCTTATACATCCAGCATTGGTGTCGTATGAAAAATAATAAAAAGTTAGGAATTTTGTAACAATCGGAGTATAAATAAAAAAAAATTATAGCAATTTTAAAAACATATGTTATTTTTAAGTGTTAACTTATTTGGTTGTATTTTTATATATTGAATATTTCATTTTTATTTCTAAAAGTATCAGAGTAAAATGAATAAAGGGACCTCAGGGCATTGTCCCGAGATTGTTTCATTTCTCTTGGAAATGGAAGGCTTAGCATTAATTTACGGCATTTGATCACTTTTTTTTAGTTTTTTAATATTTTTCAATATGACACCAATGGTGCATATATAAAAATCATAAAAATTAATTATATTAAAATTTGTAATTTAGGATTGTTTTTTATGATGCACACAATTAATCAGGAGTGATAACTTAGAAAAAATAGCATGATGGATCGCCGATCCTGGGGGTAGCCGGAATCCGGGAATATGAGTAAAGACGGAAAAGTTTAGGTAAGATTGAGTAGGAATTTATGCAGAGTAACAACAAGAGTATTGTGGAATCATTTCCACATGTTGGAATGTGATATTTATACTAAAATGTAATACTTGGTGCCCAAGTAAAAATATGATATTCTATTATGGAGAGGACACGTGTCCTGCCTGTCTAACAGAATAAACGGACTGATCTAATGGAGTGTCGACACATGTAAAGGTGATTGGAGAGATAACTGGTACAACTAGCTGATTGGGATTGTATGTAACAAACTGGTACCAGAATACACATGCGGGTTACACGTGTATTATCTGGAATATTCTTCATTTTATCCGTTGGGAGTGACATGACACTTTATGGAGTGGTGGTGGCGTGGAGGTAGCATGTGTAGTACTTCCATTCAAGAAATGCCCAAGTCCACATATCTTTGGAGAGAGCCCGAGCTCCCCGAGGTCAGAGCTCGGATGCCTGCGTATCACTACAGGAGGATCTATCTCTGTTCTTTGTCTTGTCCAGTAATGTTGACTCTTTTGTTAACTTTGCTTGACTTTGGCTGACCTTGCACTAGTATTAGAGTTCAGAGTTGGGGC